CACATCACCAAAACCAAAGGTCCTTCTCCTCCAACAACCCTTAACCAACAGATAAAGAAGTGGACTGAGGTAGTTCAGCAATGTCAGGGGAAAATGCACTTTGAATTTATGGAATCTTCATTTCTCAACCTCTCCCTCATTGATCCTCCACCAGAAGTGGCTCTTGAATGTGTAAAATTCTGGGAATCGAACCACTTGGTTGGAATTTCTACCCATAAAAGACTACCATTCAAAGTGGTTAGTAGTGCAACAGCCAAAATTTGGAAACCTCTTGGCCTCACACATACAATCTTGGGAGACGAGGGTTCTTTCCTATTCAGATTCAACTCTATTGAGGAGATTGACAAAGTGCTGTCAATGGGCCCTTGGTCCATAGCAGGTCACCCCTTTTCACTGATGAAATGGGACCAACACATCACCTCCAACATTACAAATCTAGCCCTTACACCCACATGGGTTAAGTTCTACAACGTTCCTCAGAAGTATTGGACAGCAATAGGTCTTAGTTACATTGCTAGCACAGTGGGAATACCTCTTTATGCAGACCAAGCAACAGAAGCTAGATCAAGACTCAGGTATGCAAGAATTTGTGTAAATATGGACCTGTCAAAGCCTTTGCTCTCTGCAACCCAAGTAATGTTGGATGGTTACCCTATGGACATTGGTATTGAGTACCAGTGGCTCCCAAAGATTTGTAACCTTTGCAATAAGCTCAATCACACTGAACCATCATGTCCATTAAACTACAACAACAACCGGGGCGCACAACTGTAGAACCATACCAACCAAGCATAGCTGAAGAACCACATTGGATTATCCAAAGAAGCTTCAAGCCCCATCTTGAAGGACAATTCTCCAGCTCAGAACCCACTTAACAATGAATGGATCACAATTAGGAGGAGGAATGGAAGAAAGCCCAAGAGCACTGGAAAGCAGCATGCATCCTGCCCTACACTTGGTAATACATTGTCACCTTTATCTCAATCCCACCACAACTTAATTACCTCACCTTCCACTCCAAACTCTCCCCCAATCAACCTTACTCAAATATCCATCTCCTCTTCCACATCACATGATATACAATCATCCAACCCTTTAATTCACAATACATCTCCCTTATGCAGTAAGAAGCTCACATTCACAGACTCCCCATCTCCCACTATACCATCCTAGGTATGCTCATCCCCTCTCACTCAACTAGCCTCCCCCTCCTCACTTCCACAAAGCAAAAGGAAGAACAAGATCAGTTGTGAATTTGGCAAACAGCAAGTCACCACTCCTCCCCCAATCACTATCACTCCAATCATCGCTCCCTACCACTGCTCCACTATTACTGATCTTGCAACAATGGAATCTCCCTCAAGAAGACCAAACACCATGATGACTGCCAAAAGCTTAAAGAAGGCTGCTCGAGGAAGCATGAGCCACAGCCCAGTGTTGATATCTTCAGACCCTACAAAGGGTCACAGGTATCTTAGAGGTTCTCTTACCTCTCTGTTTAAATGATATCCTTCATTTCATGGAACATTAGAGGACTAAACTAGTCCTCTAAACAAACAGAGGTAAAGAAACTTATCTCTGAAAATAGATTGGATTTAATATCCATTGTTGAGACAAAGGTGTCTCTTGAGAATGTGGATACTATACACCACCATATAGCTCTTAATTGGCTCATTACACACAATTACAATTTCTCTCATTTGGGTAGAATTTGGATACTGTGGAACCCTCCACAATTGGTCTCAACATCATTGACATAAGCAAGCAAGCAATCCACTGCACTATTTCAGTTTTGGGTGGGAACACCTCATTCTTCTGTTCCTTTGTGTATGCTTCAAATCTGGTAGTCGAAAGATCACATCTTTGGAATGATATCATCAACCATGCAACCCTCTTCTCCCACATGCCATGGATTCTCATGGGAGATTTTAATGCCATCACATGCACTAATGATAGGTTTGGTGGAACAACAAAGTGGAGTCCTCATATGTCTGATCTTAGGGATTGTATGCATCAGGCTGAGCTTGATGACCTAAGATTCAATGGTATCCTTTACACTTGGTGCAACCAAAGCCTAGGTGATGCTTGCATTGCTAGGAAACTTGATAGAGCCCTAGTAAACTACAAATGGAACATTTCCTTTCCCAATTCAGAATGTAAATTTCTTACCCTAGGAATTTCAGACCACAGTCCCATCCTTCTTACCATGAACCTCATTATCCAAAGGAAATGCATCCTTTTTAGGTTCTTCAACACTTGGAGCAACCATCCTCTTTTTCTCTCCTCAGTCAGTGAAGTTTGGAACTCCTACATCAAGGGGACCTCCATGTTCCAGGTGGTCCAGAAACTCAAGTTGCTAAAACATTCCCTTAGATCCAATTGCAAAAGTGCCTTCTCTGAGGTTGACTCAAGACTTAATGCTGTTAAGATGGAATTGGAATCATGCCAGGTTGACCTTGACAAGGCTCCTAATGATATCTCTCTAAGATTGATGGAAAAAGCTCTCATCAAAGAGTACCTAAGGCTAGATAACTCTCAAGAAGATATGCTGAGACAGAAATCCAGAATGATTTGGCTTAGATTAGGAGACTGTAACTCTTCCTACTTCCATAAATCAATAATTTCAAGGTACAACAGGAACAAGATTGTGAGTCTCATCAATGCAGCTGGACAACACATTGATGATCCAGAAGCTATCAAGTTAGAAGCCATCTCACACTTTCAGAATCTGTTAGGCTGCTCTAACCCATCCTTTTATGATATCTCTAACCTCTCCCCATTCATCACCAAATCAGTCCCAATCCACCTCCATGGCATAATTGACTCTCCTCCCTCATTCTAAGAAATTCAAAGTTGTTTTATATCCCTAAACAAAGACAAGGCTCCAGGTCCTGATGGCTACAATGCATTTTTCTTCCATAAAGCTTGGCTCATTGTGGGGAAATCTATCATTAAAGCCATTTCAGAATTTTTTTGGAATAGGAAGCTTCTTAAACCCATCAAATCATCTAATTTTGGTATGCAGATCACCTCCTTTGATACCTCTGATAGCACAAGACTTTTCAGTTCTGAAATCACTAACATGACTTTTGTTATTGAATTAAATGCCCATGGATAATTTTTTTAATCCATATACCAATTTGTAAATGGCTATAGAAAATGGGTTAATCCATATACAAACCCAATTTTTTGCTCCATATACCAAATGCTTCAATCTGTTTGTAAAAAAATTGATTTCCCTACCCCCCTCCTCCCTCATCTACCCATTTCATTCTCCCTCTCCACCCCGTTCCTCCTTTGATAATTAACATATTAAATTAAATTTCTTAGTTCCCTTTCTCCCTCTCCACCCCATTCCCTTTCTTAATTCATCTATAATTTTCACAATTTTGTGTATCTCCATTGTTTTTATAAATTGGTACTGTGGTGCTTACAATTGATTAATAATATTGTTAGGAAACTAAAACTACATAATTTAGAGCCTACCACCTCTTTTTCTTTTTTTTTTCTTTTTTTTTTTTCCATTTATCCATTCATTTTCAAAGACTGAATAGCGTCTCAAAAACAACACTTTATTCTGAATAAAAATTTACCACAGGTTTTATGGACCAGTGTTAGATGGAGGTCAAGTTCTCCAATCAACACCCTTAGGAAAATCTGTCTTTTAGCGGTGGTGTATCACACATGGGAAGAAAGAAACAATTGAATTTTCAAAGGGAATCCATCTACGCAGAGTAGGGTTCTAGCTAAAGTGTGTAATTCAATTACTTCCCTTCTTCGTTTGGGTTGCCTAAAAGAATGCACAACTTCTAGATCGATTCTGAGCAGTTGGAATCTCTCCCTGTAACGACCCACTCCACCACATGGTATGATATTGTCCGCTTTGGGCCTGAGCCCGCACGGTTTTGCTCTTGGGTTTTATCCCAAAAGGCCTCATACCAATTGGAGATGTTGCACTTACATATAAGCACTTCACCTTTCCTCTACCCAAGCGATGTGGGATTTGTGCACCCGTAGCTCGCCAGTGTGGTAACCTGACAGTGTCTCTTGCACCCGCCCACGGCACACCCGCCCACAAGGTCATCACAATCCACCCCCCTTGGAGGCCCGACGTCCCCGTCGGCACACTTCCGGCTGGGTCAGGCTCTGATACCATTTGTAACGATCCACTCCACCACATGGTATGATATTGTCCGCTTTGGGCCTGAGTCCGCACGGTTTTGCTCTTGGGCTTCACCCCAAAAGGCCTCATACCAATTGGAGATGACACACTTACATATAAGCACTTCACCTTTCCTCTACCCAGGCGATGTGGGACTGTGCACCCGTAACTCGCCAGTGTGGTAGCTTGACAGTATCTCTCGCACCCGCCCATGGCACACCCGCCTACAGGGTCATCACAATCCACCCCCCTTGGAGGCCCGACGTCCCCGTCGGCACACTTCCGGCTGGGTCAGGCTCTGATACCATTTGTAACGACCCACTCCACCACATGGTATGATATTGTCCGCTTTGGGCCTGAGCCCGTACGGTTTTGCTCTTGGGCTTCACCCCAAAAGGCCTCATACCAATTGGAGGTGACACACTTACATATAAGTACTTCACCTTTCCTCTACCCAGGCGATGTGGGATTGTGCACCCGTAGCTCGCCAGTGTGGTAGCTTGACAGTGTCTCTCGCACCCAGGCGATGTGGGTTGACTGGGCGTATGGAGCTGATGGTGGTATGAGATTTCGAGGTAGGCTATGTGTTCCAGACTTAGCAGATCTCAAGAGAGAGATTTTAGAGGAGGCACATCATTCTAGGTACACAGTGCACCCAGGTGGCACTAAGATGTATTATGATCTTAAGAGGCAGTTCTGGTGGGAAGGCATGAAACGTGATGTGGCAGAGTTTGTATCTAGATGTCTCACTTGTTAGCGAGTGAAGGCTGAGCACCAGAGACCAGCAGGACTATTACAGCCTTTGCCTGTGCCTGAGTGGAAATGGGAGCATGTGACGATGGATTTTGTTGTGGGGTTACCGAGGTCGATACATAACCATGAGATAGTGTGGGTGATAGTGGACCGATTGACTAAATCAGCTCATTTTCTACCCATTCGAGCTACTGATACTGTAAAGGAATTGTGTAAGATCTACATTAGAGACATAGTTAAGCTTCATGGAGTGCCGGTGTCTATTGTCTCAGATCGTGATCCTCGTTTTTCATCTCGATTTTGGAGTAGTTTCCAAGCAGCTTTTGGTATTCCTTTGAGTTTGAGTACTGCTTTTCATCCTCAGACCGATGGCCAGTCCGAGAGGGTCATTCAGGTGTTGGAGGATATGCTTCGTGCTTGTGTGCTAGATTTTCGGGGCAGTTGGGAGGATCACATTCCATTGGTTGAGTTCGCTTATAATAATAGCTATTAGGCTAGTATCTGCATGGCACCATATGAGCCACTTTATGGTAGACCTTGTTGTTCACCTGTATGTTGGGCTGAGGTTGGTGATGGTAGTTTTTGGGGCCAGAGTTGGTGCAAGAGACTACGGAGAAGGTTGCCATCATTCGAGATCGACTTCGCACAGCTCAGAGTCGACAGAAGAGCTATGCAGATCGACGCCGTCATGCTTTGGAGTTTAGTATGGGTGACTTGGTGTTCTTGAAAGTATCACCAATAAAGGGGGTTACGAGATTTGGCAGGAAGAAAGGGAAGTTAGCTCCTCGATTCATTGGACCTTTTGAGATCACAGAGAGGATTGGGGAGGTGGCGTATAGATTAGCTTTACCACCCAGACTATCTACTGTTCATGATGTTTTCCATGTCTCCATGTTGAGGAGGTGCTTGAGGGATGAAACTCAGGCCATTGACTGCACAGAGGTCCAGATTCGTCCTAATGCAACCTATGTTGAGATGCCTGTTCGCATTGTTGACAGTATGGTGAAACAGTTGAGGCGGGCAGAGATACCTTTGGTGAAGGTGCAGTGGAATCATCAGGACGAGAGAGAGGCTACTTGGGAGCTAGAGTCAGAAATGAAGGAAAAGTACCCACAACTCTTCGAATAAGGTATGCAAATTTCGAGGACGAAATTTCTTTTTAGGTGGGTAGATGTAAAACCCTTAAATTTCGTATATTATATTTTATTATTTATTATTTATTATTTGAATGTTAAATTAAAGATATTAAAGTTTTTAAAATTTAAATTTCAAAAAGGAATCCTAAACTATCTCAACCACAGTTATAATTATCTTTTATAACTCATGCCGTATCAGTTCTATAGAGATATTATTTGTAAAACAAAAAAAAAAAAAAAAAAAAAAAAAAAGAAAAAAAAGAAGAGAGAAGCGTGAGATATTGAGAGTGATATTTAAAGTTGACGTCTGTGGTAGCCAGAAGGTAGACGGTGACTGAGAAATTGCCTAGAGAAGAAGGAGAAATTATATTTCAATAGTCGAGTCTGAAAAGGAAGGTGAAACGATATTTGAGGCAAGTTAATCTTGCATTGTATTTTTATATATATTTGAAACTTGATTATGATAAATCTTAAAAAAAATCTAATTTGTGTGTTTTAAATAAATTGTAGAAATATTATTCTTAAAGTTAGGATTATACTAGTACAACTGTGCACTTGTTTTTTTAAATTATTAGGTTCCAATAAAAGAAATTATTTGTTCTAAATAATTAAATTAAGTTTGATCATAGAACTCAAAATCAAGGATTTAGTTAGGATGGTTTAGTCTAGGCATGTTATTATTGGTAAGTTGAATTTAAAGTTTTACATAATGCAATGTACAATTTCCATTCAAAGGATTTCAATGATTATTATAGATGGGTTCCTGTTATGATCTATTGGTATATATGTGATATAATATATGTGGCATATATGGTTGAAGAACTAAGGAGATTTGTGGAAGCATATCATGGAATTTAGAGGCGTGAACCTGCTCTGTTAACTTTGTTGGAGTACTGTGAAGGTGCAAATATATATATATATATATATGAATATTTATGTACGTATATATGCATGTCAGACCTCTTATATAAGTAATTTTATTTAGAATGACTCCAGTAACTTCTTGTGGGCCTGCTAGTGGGTTAGATTAGATGTAACTATAGATTTCCATAATTAATTGCTAATAGCTTATTGGGAATCATATTCGGATGATGGTGATGTAGTGGGTTTGTGTAACCACTCGCAGTCAAGGGACAAGTGAATGAGAGAGGAGACCCATATGCGTTTTTAACTGGGTTTCCATGTCACTTTCTAAATCTGTTATTTTGGGTTCACTGTTGTGTCCATAGAGATTCAATATTATTTTTAATTATTTTCTTTTAAGTGATCTTGATTTAATTAAATTAGGAAAGAAAAATAGTGATCATATTTCAAAATTACAGGAAGTTCTATATTACTCTGTGTAAGCATATTGAAATAAATTGTGATGAAATCCTGTTTTTAGATACTGTTTAGATAATTTAACCAAATTAAAATTTGAAAAAAAAAACAATTAATGGAGAGTACGGAAAAATTATTAAAGGTTTGACTCAAAAATGTTACAGGGATTTATATATAATATTAGAGCGTGTCCAGAATTTCTGTACTCCCACTAGTTGGGTCTTTAGGGTTTTGTTTTAAATTAAAAGTGTGTTCGGGAGTATTGCTTATTAATTTAAATTATTAATTAATAATGTCTATCATAATTCACCATAGTTAATAATGATGAGTTTGGATTAGTCGGAGGGTAGTCAGGGACCGACCCTATTATGACTCGTGGGTATGGTCAGGGACCTACCTATTTGGGAGTGCACTACCCTTTTGTTATGGCCATGGGTCTAATGAGCCCTTATTGTGTGGACGTGATCAGGGATCATCTGGGAAGTAGACGTACAATCCAGGCACACGTGTGTTTTTGGTAGTCAGGGACTATACGACTCACACCATTTTATTGGACGGGAGCCCGGGGCTCATGTGAGATATGCCGATTTATTAAAAATAAAATATGGTTATTTATTAAGTTTATAATTAACTGGGTTATACACATTTGAATAATGAACTTATTTGAGTTGCTTATATATACATGAATATAAGGTAAGGTTAATTTGCTGAACGATGATTGTGTTTAGCATTTATTACTGAGCTTGTGAGCTCACCCCATTATCACATTTCAGGTACACGTTGAGTAGGAACGTGATGGGATTACATGATGGTGATGGATTTTGGCTTGTTTGTCGCATTCTTTGGTTTAGTTCAATTTTCGCATTGTAATAAGAATGACGATATTTTTTTTTTGAGAGTTAGTTCATTTTGTCCGGTTATCATGGATTATTTTTGACAAGGTTGTTTGATATTATGGTTGTATCGATTTAATAAATTAGAGGGTGGTTTTCATCCACTTCTTTATTTAATTATTTTTTATTGTAAAGTTGTGGTTGTGTAAGGAAAGTCATGTCAAATCTTAATACGAGATAAGAGTCACCTCTAATTGGTATGAGGCCTTTTGGGGTGAAGCTCAAGAACAAAACCGTGCGAGCTCAGGCCCAAAGCGGACAATATCATACCATATGGTGGAGTGGGTCGTTACACTCCCCCTCTTCTTGCAGACCATCGCCGAGGCCACCAGACTGAGAATGGAGAGAGAATTTCTCTCATTGTAGGGTTTGTTCACCGGAACTGTGTTGATCATCTACTAACGGCTTCAACTGTTATCTGAAGATCTTTTGTTATTGGGTTGGGCTTTAGCTTTGGTTTAGCTTTTCATAGCTAAGGTTGGTTGCCTATAGGCCATGTTTGCTCTCTTTCAGGGCTGTTTTGGCCAAAGCCTCTTTTGCAATCCTTTTTTCATTTATACAATTTGCTTAAAATTTTATAATAAAAAAAAAATGCAGTGAGAGGATTAGGATTCGACTACAATAATGGGGTGGTGGTCGACGTGAATTAACAGCAGCTTTGTGAACAGTTGAAAAAGGTGACGTACCCACTCTCTCTATCCAGACTTGTAAGCCAAACAAAACTGTAGCAGGTCCAACGGTAACCACCACCTGGCATATCTCAGTTGCTAACCTGGCACCGTCCAGCCAATCACATGCCTCCTCCATCTATATCCCACTGGTGGGAGTTGGTGGTCCACGTGACCAGTCCAGCCACGTGTACAATTCTCGAAACTACTTGAGAGGGGCAGGTCACGAGCTCGGTCGCGTGATTAGCTGGTGAGAGAAAAGAAGAGTGATTTGCTTAGTTGGAAGCCACAATGCCCAGTGTTTATTCTGAAACCCAATCAGTAGATGACACGTGGGAAGCCGACGAGATGGGGATCAGCGCAATTGAGCGGTAAACGCGGAGATTGAGTCCATGGTTTTGTGAGTGTTTGGCCGCCAGAAGACGGAATTGTTTGAACCAAACAGACACTTATCCAAAACAAAACCGAGTCCTTTTTGGTAATTTTGAATATTCCTCGTACACGACTTTGGTTTTCCAAATACAAAAGTGAAGAATGGAGGATTCTAGATTCCGCCTATTGCCTTCTCAAAAGGTTTCAACGTCTCAATCTCTATTAGCTATGAAGAGACTTTGTCTATGTAATTCAATTCTCCACTTTTTCCAAAATATCTAAAATTTATTTCGAAGACTAATTCTGCTTTGAATTAAGAATAATTTATAATTATAGAATAAGAACTTTCAATTTTTAATTCTATATTTGATTTTCTTATTCAAATTTTATCTTATAAATTCAATCTATCAATGATGTTTTTCTAGAATTTCAAATTTGTTCCTATGCATCTTCATATTTTTGCTTTTGCAACATATGGTATAAAACTTTGTCTTAAACTAAAATCTCTTTTCAAAGAGCGTGTGAAGTGATGAAAAGAATTGATGTTCAGTTACCAAATGTTATCATAAAGCATTTTTCTTTAATTGATTCGCTACTCGAAAAAAAAAGAAAAAAAAAGAAAAGGGTTCAACGAACCATTAGGATAAACACTCTATGCCTTTTGGGAGACATTTTAAAACATTGCTCCATCATTCCATATCAATTAACGCCGAGAAATATCAATTCAAAGTTTGCTGCTGTCTTCCCACAAAACACGGGCACATTTGGAGTCTCCGAGTCATATAGACCTTTGGGACAAGGGAGACCATAAATCATAAATTTATTTAAATATGTAATCATCTCATGAGATTCAATAATAAATAATTAGATTGATTTGGGTCCTTGAAGTGCCCAAAAGAATCAAGTATGATAATGTCCATTTTCTCTCTTTTGAGAATTCAAAAATAAATAAATAAATAAACATTCTATTACATTTATGTAGGATGACCGCTCAATGTGTTCGGTCTTCTTGACATAATTTTTTTTAATTTTTAATGTCTATTTTCTTTTTCTCAAAAATTAAAGCAAAGACTTATGAACTAAAAAACAATAACTTTTTTTTATTTTTAAAATTTAAGAGAGTCCAATTTGTTGACCTAGTTTTTGTTTCTTTTTGAAAAATTTTAAAATACATAATTGGACCTACCATGTTTGGTCTAAATATATCCGTATATGGATAAGCTCTAATGGGCTCCTCCAATCCGTTTTCTTTTCCTTAAAGTATTTACTATTTATGAAAAGAATAAAAAATAATTGTTTAAATTTTCCTCACCGCCGCGACTTCCAAATTCCTCGTTCTTCGTTTTACACTCCTTTCCTCTGTTCCTCATCCGTAACACCCACCCTATATATACATATCTCTGTCTCTCTTTACTTCCAAATTAAACACACCAAGAACAATATTTACACACACATACACCCTTTGTATCTATCTCCCAGATATGGTGGATTTAGATTTGAAAACCAAGATGGTGCACTCCGATATGCCCAATAAATCGCCCAGACTCTCAGATAAGCTGAGAATTTCGGTACCATCTCCATTTCGAGCCACCGATTTGTCGCCGGCGTCCGATTCGGCGTGCTCGGCTTACGAGCAATACTTTCGTCTTCCAGAGCTCAAGCAGCTATGGAGTTACAAGGAGTTTCCGAATTGGAACGACGAGTCCATTCTCAAACCAGCATTGCAAGCTCTCGAAATCACGTTCCGCTTCGTCCCCACCGTTTTGTCTGATCCGAGACCGTACGCGAACCGGCGAGAGTGGAGTCGGAGGCTCGAGTCTCTCACGACGAGCCAGGTTCATCTTATAGCTCTCCTCTGCGACGACGGCCGGTCAGGAGGAACTGTGCCGATCGTTGATCTCAGCTCGTCGGGAGGCGTTATAGCTCGTGGCGGGAGCTCGGCGGAGGTGTGGAAACTCGACGGAGAGACGACGGTGGTGAGCCGAAGCAGCGAGGCAAGCCTGCTACCACGGCTGGCCACGTGGCAGAAATCGGAAGACATTGCACGAAAAATCCAGTACTCCATCGAGTGCGAGATGATAAGGTGTCCGTACACGCTAGGTTTAGGCGAGCCGAACCTCACCGGCAAGCCGAATCTCGATTACGATCTGATCTGCAAACCATCGGAGCTTCATTCTCTGAAGAAAACTCCATCAGATCACATAAATCTTGATAATCATGAAAATCAAACGCTCTACACAACACATCAGATCATCGAATCGTGGATCTACGTAGCACAACAGCTTCTCGGACGAATCGGAGAGAGAATCGATTGCAGAGACTTCGAAAGAGCTTCAATCGATTGCTTCTTACTCGAAACGATCTGGAAACTTCTTGCTGAGATTGAAGACCTCCATTTGCTGATGGATCCAGACGATTTTCTCCGATTGAAGAACCAGCTCGCGATCAAAGCATCGGCCGAGTCGGAATCGTTCTGCTTCCGATCGCGAGGACTCGTCGAGATCACGAAGCTCTCGAAGAATCTCAGGCACAAAATTCCGTACATATTGAACGTGGAGGTGGATCCGAAAGGAGGTCCGAGAATTCAAGAAGCTGCGATGAAGCTTTACCGCGAAAAGACTGGTTTCGAGAAGATTCACTTGCTTCAGGCATTACAGGCGATTGAATCGGCATTGAAGAAGTTCTACTACTCGTATAAACAATTGCTTGTGATCGTCATGGGGAGTTTGGAGGCCAAAGGTAATCAAGCTTATGTGAGTCTCGATTCGAACGATTCTCTGTCTCAGATCTTTCTGGAACCAACGTATTATCCGAGTCTTGACGCTGCAAAAACGTTCCTGGGAGATTATTGGAGTCACGAATATGGAGAATACAGTACTGAGAGACGAACAAAGACTCAGAAATGAGATATAAATATAAGAAGTGCATTGTGACTCGGAATTGGATATGTGAGTTAACTCGTTGTACTCTCTTGTTGGTGAGTCAAGTCTATGCGAGTTTGTGAAAGGTGAGGATTAATACTCGAAGGTCAGGTTAAGTTCCACACAGAGAATTACGAAGTCATATTAATTTTTGGAGGTTAGATATTCTGTATACTGAATTATTGTATAAGATATTTTTTTGTAAAATTTTCTAAATCATTCTTATAAATTATACTCCGTAGTTAATTCTTTTATCGATGATTGTTTTTGGTCATTCTTTTTTCTTTTTTAAATTTAGGGATGCTAGGTTTTTGACCAACTAAAAATTTGCACAATGAGATTGGAACAACGATAATTCTAAATAAAAAATAAAATAAAATAACTTCATAACATGTAAGCTTCATTTGTTTGGATGTATCTGACGTTTGATTGTGGTAAAATATTATGACGTTTGATTGTTGTAAAATATTTATGAAAGAAAAATATATTAAAATTTTACAAAAATAATTTATTCTATCAATTTTTTATAAATTATTTTATAGACCCCGCCCGAAGGTTTTTACCTTGACTTAGACTTTTGTCAAATACAAAAAAGTGTAAATAAAAAAAATATTTTACCTAAAAAATGAATTATGTCGAAATAAACGGAGCCCTAAGGTATGATTTCTTTTTATGAGATAGTCTCATGTAATTTGTTCACTTTTTCTTAATAAATTCAGTGTAAACTTAATTCAAGGCTTGAATAATTTCTCCTAAAATTCGAATTTAATGTGATAAAAAATACGGCTCTAAGTTTAAGCATCTAATAATCCTAATTGAATATTAATTGCTCAATATGAACTTGATTGAAGAATACCTTACCTTAAATATATCATATGCAAGCATTAGGAGCAAAGCTAACCCTTTCAAAATTTAGGCCTATTAAATAATGGGATTAAAAATTGACCTAAACTTAAATTGAAATGAAATAAATTTGACACATGTTATTTGATATAAGATAAAATTACATGTGAATTTGAATATAATTTTGATTTACGATAACTTATAATGCCCGATTCTTATGAATTTTTCAGCTTCTATTGTAGCCCGATTAATTTGTAATATGCCTTGTTGGTATTATGACTGACAAATACAGGCATTATGAGATCATTAGTTGCATCCAATATGAATAGATTGAGACCATTTAGGCACTGGCTCCATAGTGAGTGCATAATTTTTCAGGTCATGGTTAATAAAGTAACCAAAAATTTATTCTCAATTCTCAAGCATTACTTGCTACTAAATAGCCATTATTTAATAATTTATTATTCGCACCTTAATGTGTCTTTTTGCTATCCACTTGAAAAGAAAATGTCCAATTACCATCTAGAGTGTAATTTTTTTTTATTTTTTATTTAAATACAATTGTGGAGTGAGTGTGCTTTGCCGCTTTGGAAGATAATTATGTCATTTTTTTTAAAAAGAAAAAGCAAAACAAGTGAAATGAATTATACAAAAGTGTAATGTATATATATCACCTTCCACTTACTAAATTGTAATTTTTGGGAAGACTAGAAGAGATTTTGAAAATTCTGAGGATGGCAATTTTATAACTTTTGAAAAACTTATATATATCAAAGTGAAATTGAGTTGGTGCAGGAAAGGAAGTAAATGAATAAGTGGAAGGAAGTAACGCATGAAAGATCGATCTCACCATGAAAGCCTACGACCACGTGTTCCACCACCACCCAAACCAGTTGTGGATTCCACCACCGTCCAACTCCCAAACCAATAGCAGCAGTTGCTGACTCCACCAGCATGTACAACCCACCGGCCGCCCCCACCTCATTCATCCACACTGAAATAGAACATACCAGAAAGTTTCAGAATTCACAATAACGAATTGAGACCCAAGGAATAATAATAATAATCACTAACTGAGTTTAAAGCAATTTTTCAATTTTTCCATGAGTTATTTTTCTTCATTTCATCATCAAGCAAGTAGCAGTACTTATCCTTTTGCGAAAGAATACTTATTTACTCATCAATGGTTGTTTTCGGGAGAGAGAAATAACACTCTTTTTATTTTATTTTATTTTATGTTTATACTGATATTTAAATTAATTTTTAAGTCCCAAATCTGGTATTATAGACTGATACTTGAAGTTGTTTTGTGATAAACATCTTTCAACCATACATTATTGTGAAAAACCAAACCAATGTGAGCAAATAACACCCATATAACTATTTTTTAATTTCGTATTCAATATGAATCTATATAAGCTTGTTAAATGCATTGTATTAGAACTGTAATTTTGTTCTATTTCATTGGTTCAAACACTACCAAAGGCGGATCCAGGGGTGGACGAAGGTGGGCTGAAGCCCACCAAAAAAAAAAAGAAAAAAGACGGATTCAGGGGTGGGCGAAGGTGGGCTTTAGCACACAAAAAAAAAAAAAAAAAAAATTAGTAATGGCAGCTCAGCCTAAATTAGCCCAATTCAAAGTTAACCCACCCCATTCAGAAATGTTGAATCCGCCCTTGACCACCACCAATTGGTCTTCCTAATAATGGGTTTTGATTTTTGTGTACTAAGTTGTGGTGTTTTTTTTTTTTTTTTTTTTTTTTTTTTTCATGTACTAAGTTGTGTTGGGTGATTGTGATTTGTTGCAAAGGCTTGAAGATTATCAACTTGAAACTTAGCTGTTGAAAGCTGTTAATATTAGATCAAACATTTTATTATGATGGTTTTTCCTTTTCTTTACCAGCAACTATTTTAATTTTATTTGTTTAAAGCTTTGAGTGTCATTTATTGAAGGCTGACATGGCATGTTGGCAAGTCAGAACAACGGTAACCAAATCCCCCGTAGCGATTTGAAAAGTCAAAAGTCTCGAAGGACCAACCTTCGAGCACCATAAGCCCTAGTATCGCTCCAGGCTCATTAAGCCTCGAGTAATGAATCCTCGAGCATCCTAAGCCCTGGCATCGCTCTAAGCCTACCAAGTCTCGAAAGATCAAACTTCGAGCACTTAAGCCCTGGCATCGCTCCAAGCCTATTAAGCCTCGAGGAATCAACCCTCAAGCATCCTAAGCCCTGGCATCGCTCCAGGCCCACTAAGTCTCGAAAGATCAAACTTCGAGCACCCTAAGCCCTGGCATCGCTCCAGGCCCATCAAGTTTCGAAAGATCAAATTTCGAGCACTCTAAGCCTTGGCATCGCTCTAGGCTCATCAAGCCTCGAAAAATCAAATTTCGAGCACCCTAAGCCCTGGTGTCGATTCAGACCCATCAAGTCTCGAAAGATCAAACTTCGAGCACCTTAAGCCCTGGCATCGCTCCAAGCCCATCAAGCCTCGAAGGATCAAACTTCGAGCACCCTAAGTCCTGGCGTCGATCCAGGCCCATCAAGCCTCGAAAAATCAAACTTCAAGCATCCTAAGCCTTGGCGTCGCTCCAGGCCCATCAAGCCTCGATGAACCAATCCTCGAGTGCCCTAAGCTCTAGTGCTGCTCCAGGCCCATCATGCCTCGAGGGACTAACTCTTGAATATCTCAAGCCTTGGTGTTGCGCCAGGCAACATCACTTTGAAAGACTGGAGCCCCAAGGGACTCGCTATTAGAAGATCGTGTATAGCACGAAACGAAGGTAGGGCCTTCGCAGCTACAGGGGATCTATGTTTGGGAAACTTAGGAGGATCTTGGATTGGTGGATGAGAAGTCAAGAGGTGCCTTCGCTCTCAGCACAACCCAATTAGCAAGATGATAGGATTATATATGTCATGACAGCAAACCTTAAAATCACATTTAATGCTGTGTCAGGCTTGACCAACCGACGACCAAGCAACATTTAATGCCCCTAATTAAGGGAGAAGTGACATGGCAATGTAGAACAAGGCTCGAGGAAAGGATTAGACCCTTCTGACTCCTAAATCTCCAGGATTACTCACGTAATCCAGATCGAGAGTAATGCATGCGAGAAACTGTAACACCCCCTAATTTCGGAATACGGGGTGATCAAATCCGCGCACAAAATCAGGGGAATATCAAAACAATTAAAGTATTTCAAACAAGCACATAGTACAAAATAAAATAAAATAATAAATAATATGCTGAAGAAAAACTAATAAATAAAAATTAATTAATGATTCTCCAACAATTACAACTCGGGAATCCCATAACTCAAAGACCCCTTAAAACATTACCCAATAATTTAATACTACTTAAAAAAAAAATACACTGGATGAATAGATGAATGACAGTCTCCCAGCTGTGGATCCTCAACCTCGAGACTGGAACCTCTAATAACCTGAAAAATAAATCGTGGGTTAAACCCTACGAGCAAGTTCTTTCTACCAAACATATGAAAACCAATAAGTAGATCATCTCTGATCAAAACCAAATCTAATAAAGTTTTAAGTTTAATAAACAGTGATACACATATGTATAAATAGTTATATAATGTAATACCCCGATATTTTAAAGTATTTATTAATTGGAATTAATTACTTTTATTTTATTTTTAAATGATTTATTTGATTTAATTTGAATTAATTGCGTTTATTTTAATTTTTAATTGATTTGTTTTATTGAGTGCTTAGATTAATTATTTTATTTTATTTATATTTTGTGAATTATTAATATGATGATTGTTGTGTGTGTGTTTAATTGTTGTTTGAATTGTTGACGTGTTGATTTATTGGTATGGTGTGACTTGATTGTAATTTATTATTTTGTTTATGTGCTTAGTGTAATTAGTTTTTAGTTTTTTTTTATTTTTTATTATTTAAGTGTTTATTTAATTATTTGGTTTATTTAAATTAATTAGATTTGGGCTTAAGGGAAGTTGGACCAAAAGATGTGGTCTTGGGCTTGTATGAAGCCTTATTGGGTTAATTAATAAAAGCCCATGGTTATTTAATTATTTAAATAATCATTTTTGTTTTAATTATAAATATATATAAATATAATTAATTAATAATTGTTATGGAAAGATATATATATATATATATTGATAAATATAGGTATATATAATTTAATTAACCAATGGGTTAATTATGGAAGGTATATATATATACATGTAATATAATATATGTTTATAGATATATATTATTTAAAGATTATTATTTTATTTGAGAGTCCTAGTTAGACTATGATTTGATTTTTTATGTGTATAAATATACACATAAGGCTTTAGGGTTAAAGGTTGGCACGTTAGAAAAATAAGAGAAGTAGAGAGAGAAGAGGAGGAGGCTGACAAAGAGGAAGCTGGATTAAAGAAAG